AAACTAGCAAAGATCTTAAAAAAGATCTATTGTCTGTTAGTACTGATAATTATTCTTTAAATGTGCAGCATGGACTTCTCACTTCTGGACGGTTATTCTAAGTTGTGGGCCGCCAGATGTTGCTGCTAGTGAAAAACAGGTCTGTTCAACATCCTATATTCTCAGAGTACGAAAATTGTCGAAAGCGCTCGAAAAAGTGTTGCTGCGTCTTCAATCAGGGTTGTGCAGTTGACATACTAAGTAGACAATGGCTTCGCATGTGTTTTCGCTGCTGATTTTTTCATATTTAAACGAAGAGTACGATTGTAGATCTTTGATTCGGTGGCAAATTTATAGAAATATGTTGATGCTTTTGTGAAGAATAAAATGACGTCTTCTATATACATGACAAACATTTATTTAAACTATGAAGACGTTGAACAGCAGAGTAGAAACATGATATTACACAGCGCTTTGCACGTCTCGCTTACATGCAATACTCACCATTGACTTTGGCTAACTGCATATTAACTAAGCATTAGTATTATGCAGCAGAGAACTTGCTTATCATGTGCATGCGCTAAGGGAATCAACGGCAGTTGCCAACATATCCCCTTTCGACGTCAATTCTCCTATTCCTGAAAAGTAAAACAAAAACATAAAACAGTATCAATCCCATAATTGTACAAGTTGATGTTAACGGGATCAGGGGTTGGTTAACACATCAGCTCCCATTCACGGTAGGTATGTATGCACATCTAATTCCGCGGCATAACTTCACGCACAAAATGATGGCGAATCTATGTGCTTTGTACGGAAGTGAAACACTGAGTCTTCGTAATTTCTGAGCTCCTTGATTGTCGCAGTATATGTTGTGGGCGTTCTTGTTGCCAGCTCCATCAGGAACGACGTAGGTAGACGGTTCTTTGCGCCTCAGACAGAGCCATATATTCCGCCTCCGTTGAAGAAGAGCTCACTGCGTGTTTTCGTGATTCAGTTTATGGCTGAACCATAATATATACAAACAGTGTAGGATTTTTATCATCGACATTGAGCCCAATCTACATCCAAAAGGCGATGAGTGGTTTTCCTTTTTGTATAAATAGTCCTTGATCTGTGTGTCCTTTAGATATTGAAGATTCTTTTCGCAGCATGCCATGTTCTTTTCCTGTTGTTGTTAAATTAAGAAATTCAGGCATATGGGTATCTGGCTAGTAGCTACTGAAAGGTAACATTAGTGATCCGATAGATTTCTAAAATGGTACTTTTTCAGTCAGCGAATTTCGTTTTCGCTTTAGGACTCATCTCTTTGATAATTTTTGCTGTTATCTGTAGGTGAAGACACGGCTAGCATTTTGCCATATTTACCGATTAAAATCATCAACGTATTTCTTTGAGAAAAATTTAATGGAATTCTCATTTTGGTAAAAATTCTATGCCTAAGCAATAATGTAATTTCCCCCAAGTCTTTCATTTTGAAAGCAAAATACTATCGGAAGTGTTTCATGCGTTTGTTAGAATCGGTGAAAACCGATAAGATCGCTACATAAACGATATAATAGTTTCACTTTTAGGCATCTTTTTAATAATCAAAGTCGTTAATCCGGACTCGTCGGACTTCGGCGATCCGGATTATCGATTTTTCCGGATTATAGATAATAGTTTAAATCTCGTAAGATGGCATGCAGAATTTAAAATTAAAAAATGAAACCGTATTTATGAAATAAAGAACAATTATGAACTAAACGGTATCAAAAATTGCAAAAAAGAAAAAGCTTAATATTTATTTGTTTACTTATTAAACATTTCTTTCAATGTAGTTGTTTAAGTTTGCTCGTTTCATGTGATAATACTTTCTCTTTAATTCTATTAAACAGACATAATTTCTGTTCAGTTACAAAGTTCCGCCGTTCAAGTCCTATAATTGCTGTTCAAGAACAACGACTAATTTGCAATCGAAATTTTTTTTTTCAATCACCTCTGTCACGTTCTTCGCTACGGAGCGAATTATAATGAGAGGAACTTGTTTTAAATCATATCAAGACGGAGCATATCGAGATGAATACTACATTTGGTAAGGAATATAAGCCAAATAAAATAAAAACATCTGCGCTGAAGATAAGGATAGTGCTGACAAATCAACTTCCAATTCATTACGCGCCCGCCCCGAGCAGCGTGAAAAATGATAAACAGATTTCGGATTCAAAACATTACTTTCGCTTTAGATCCTTACATATTAACAAATATATATCGGAAATTCTATTTGATATAATCGAAAGTTTAAGCTTACCTTTATAAATTGCTCTTACAGTCTGCAAAAATAATAAGCCGGATGCAATTCGAAATTAAGGAACAACGCAATCATCAACATTAACTGAAATAGATAATTAGATAATTTTAGCTTATACGTCCTTATACTAAAATGCGCACGCTAAAACGTATTCTGCACTTGCGCACACTCATATGCGCAGTCGTAAAAGGTCTTACGCGCACGCGTGAACGCCTCTGCGCATGTGTCAACGCGGCGCATGCGCAGAAAGTTTTTAGTTTTGAAGTCCGGATTATAGATCATTCCGAATTATGGGTGTCCGAATTAACGACTTTTGACTGTATTGGCATAATGCCATGCTGTTAGAATATAACTCACTTGTTCAAGAAAAGGCTTGGAAATTAGTAAAAAGACCTGAAAACAAGAAAGTTATTGGTAGTAAATGGGTTCTTAAATTAAAATAAAATCACAACGGCACTATCGAAAAATACAAAGCTAGGCTAGTTGCTAAAAAGTGCGCTCAAATCTCTGGTCTCGTTTTCACTGAAAACTTTTCCCCTGTTACTAGATTAAGTTCCATAAGAACAGTTTTAGCCTATGCAGTAGAACACAATCTCAAAGGTTACCAATTAGATTTTGTAATGGCCTATGCAAATGGAAATTTAGATGTAGAAATCTACATGGAAATTCTCCAAGGTTTTCGCGATGAAACTAATTCAGATAAAGTGTGTCTTTTAAAGAGATCCTTATACGGTCTGAAACAGTCAGGACGTCAGTGGTACAAAAAGTTGGATGAAAAATTAAAATCTATGAAATTTAAATCTCTTAATTCAGATAATTATGTTTATACAGTCAAAAGTCGTTAATTCGGACACCCATAATTCGGAATGATCTATAATCCGGACATCAAAACTAAAAACTTTCTGCGCATGCGCCGCGTTGACACATGCGCAGAGGCGTTCACGCGTGCGCGTAAGACCTTTTACGACTGCGCATATGAGTGTGCGCAAGTGCAGAATACGTTTTAGCGTGCGCATTTTATGTATAATGGACGTATAAGCTAAAATTATCTAATTATCTATTTCAGTTAATGTTGATGATGCGTTGTTCCTTAATTTTCGAATGCATCCGGCTTATTATTTTTTGCAGACTGTAAGAGCAATTTTATAAAGGAAAGCTTAAACTTTCGATTATATCAAATAGAATTTCCGATATATATTTGTTAATATGTAAAGGATCTAAATCGAAAGTATGTTTTGAAATCGAAATCTGTTTATCAATTTCACGCTGCTCGGCGGCGGGCGCGTAATGAATTGAAGTTGATTTGTCAGCACTATCCTTATCTTCAGCGCAGATGTTTTATTTATTGGCTTATAATTCCTTACCAATGTAGTATTTCATCTCGATATGCTCTGTCTTTGATGTGATTTAAAACAAGTTCCTCGTCATTATAATTCGCTTCCGATAGCGAAGAACGTGACAGAGGTTTTGAAAACAAAAAAATTTCGATTGGCAAATTAGTCGGTGTTTGACACAGCAATTATAGGACTTGAAGGGGAACTTTGTAACTGAACAAGAAATTAGTCTGTTTAATAGAATTAAAGGGAAAGTATATCACTGAAACGAAGCAAACTTAAACAACTTACATTGAAAGAAATGTTTAATAAAGTAAACAAATAAATATTAAGCTTTTCTTTTTGCAAATTTGATAACCGTTTAGACATAATTGTTCTTTATTTCATAAATTACGGTTTCATTTTTTAATTTTAGAATTTCTGCATGCCATTACGAGATTTAAACTGATTATCTATAATCCGGAAAAATCGATAATCCGGAATCGCCGAAGTCCCGACGAGTCCGGATTAACGACTTTTGACTGTATAAATCTTTAATTGTGACTGGAAAACGATCATTTTTGTGATGAGACTTATTTATTTGTTCATGGTTATATATTTAACAGTGTTAGACAAAGAAAGGATGAATCAATAAGACCTTAACATATACAACAAACTGTAAAATACCCTCAAAACAAATGTTTTGTTTCCCCCCCACACACTGCAAATGACACTAGAAGTTTAGTTCCTATTGATAGAATGATGGATTCATTGAAGTATATAGAAATTTGGAAATGTAGGAGTATTGCCATTCTTGAAAACCTTTGTAGGGACATTTCTACATGACTTGGCTCTATGCGACAATTCAAAATCTGTCAGAAGGTTAATGTTGGAAAATAAAAATATTGCCACTAGACTGGACTGGAAATTCACCGAACTTACTATTTGAAAAACTTGTGGCACATTCTGAAGGGATATCTTAGTAAAAATTGATAAATGGGTTGTATGATAAAAGAGTGCATGATTAAGAGTGTTACAAAAATGTGATTGCATGATAAAGAAGCAAAAAATATGTTCTCAAGACTAGTAGAGTCAATCCCTAAGCTCGTTCTAGAAGTCATTTTTTGCTAAAGGAGGGCATATTTCCTATTAATTTCATTATTATCATTATATTTAAAGGTGTGTACATAAATTATAAAAAAATTGCTTTGTCCCAATTAACTAACAGCAGCACACTGCAATATATGTTAATTCATTAAAATTAATAAGCTTCTAACATAGCAAAAAATTTAAAGTGTCTGTGTGAAAAACAAATACTAGACCATGATTTAATTAAAGACAAAGTTCGACTTTGTAGTAAAAAAGAAGATAATATTTGTTTGTGGAATAAATGCATATGTATTTTCCCCTTTATACAGGATAATGAGAAGCAGAGCTTGCAGCTATTCCATACACAACGATTGCCTGCCAACACCAAAGTTGCTCTTCTCGCTGATGTAGGTGAGTAATTTTGTCAAGGTACAGTTTTGAAGTGGATTTTTATTACTTTTATGATCCATTAGTCCACATATTTGTCTTCATCTGCTTTTAAATATCTGCATTTTTCATAAATTACTCGTGAGCATGTTTATTTTCGCAAATTACAGATACCTGGTACATAAGGTGTATAATAGTACATAGTATAAGTTAAAAATGATTCAAAATGGAAGAACTTGATATGATTAAATTTAAATATTTGCACATGATTAAAATTAATTCTTTTCTGCATATTTTTAGAAATATAAGTAACAAAATGGAAAGGAACTATTAATTTGAAGTGAATTCTTTAAAATCTTTAGCATAGTCTTTGAAATGTGCATATAGAACAATGCAGTTTTGTGCAGTTGTATAACTAGAATGCATGAAGCATTATAATATGTAAATTTAGACTTTGAAAATGTCATTGAAGAACACAGCTCCTGAAGAACATGGGTCAGTTAGATGTTGCAACACACTCCTGTTTGATGTAACTCTGACTGATTCTCGATGAGCCATTTTTGTTTTCATGAAAAATGGCATCAGTTAACTGTTATTGCTGTGATTTTTACCTGCATTTTGGGGAAGAAAAAATGAATGATTAAAATTTGGGACCTATCTTTTACAGAAATGGAAGCAGTCGGCTATTTTCAAAGTTAGGGATTCTACCTTAAAAAAAGTTTATATTAATAGACAAGATATCATCAGCTGAATATGGATGACAAACCATTAATAGTCTGACATTATTGGATACAAATAGTCAAAACATTATTGGATACAGCTTCTCAGCATTCATATGTCAGTAAAAAATTAGTAGAGAATTTAAATTTAAAACCGATAAGGAAAATTAAATTGAAGCATTCGTTATTCGGTGGAAGAGAAACGCGAACGTTAGATAGATTCATGATGTTTATAATTTGTGCACTTTGGCACTAGATGAAACTTTCTCCTTTCAAATCGAAGCACTATCAGAGAGCAAAATTTGTGGCACAGTGCCAAAAGTGAAGGGTAGTAAAATTCTTAATGAACTAAAAGATAGAGGCGTCAGTTTGTCTGATTTGGGTTCCTGTGGTCTTGAGATTTGTCTGCTTTTGGGAGCAGATATTGTCAGTGCTTTATTTACTAATAAATCTGTTCAGTTGGAATCAGGGTTATTTTTGATTGAGACTTTGGGACATGTGTTAACTGGGAAGCATGAGTCATTTGGAGATAGCAATGATGATACTATTTTGAATGCAATTTCATTGTCTGTTAGTAATTATTCGATAAAAGATTTATGGTCTTTAGAATCCATAGTTATTTCAGATCCGATTGAAAATGATAGAAAGAATTTAGAATATTCTAGAGTTTTGGAAGAGTTTTAAAAATAATGTGAAAATTCTTTCAGACGGTAGATATGAACTTTGTTTACCTTTTAAATTGATGTGGCCGATTTGCCGACAATAAAGATTTAACTTGGAAGCGGCATGAAAGGATGTGCCAGCGAGCACAAGATAAAGCCTTTTTAGAAGAATATACTACGATTTTCCGGGAATGGGAAAAATTAAATATAATTGAAAAGGTAACTGATAATATTAAGACGGGACATTTTTTACCTCATCGGCCTGTAACTAAGGACAGTACCACTACAAAAATCAGACCTGTCTTTTACACGTCAGCCTGAGAAAGTGATAAATGCTCTTTGAACGACCTTTTTTTAAGGGTCTGAACTTGCTAGAAATAATTCCAGACATACTTGATAGGTTTCGAATTCATTCAATAGGATTATCTTCAGATATTGAGAAAGCATTTCTGATGCTAAGTATAACCTTTCAACATAGAATTAAAAATTTTTTTTTTATATCCATTCGAGAGTGAACAGATTGTTTACTGACATCGCAGAGTAGTATTTGGGTTAAAGTCGACTCCATTTTTATTAGCAGCCTCAGTAGCACATTTATTAGATAACATACCATCTGAATTTGATTCTATAGCACACGCTGAAACATTCTCTTTATGTAGACAATTGTTTTTCTGGCATTGCAAATATTGAGTTGGAGGAAAATTTTATTGTAAATGCGAAAGATATTTTGTCACAAGGTTGCTTTAACTGAAGAATCTGGGACAGTAATGTAAAATGTAAATATGTTTCTAAAAGTGCTGGTGTCATGAAAGTACAGTCAAAAGTCGTTAATCCGGACTCGTCGGGACTTCGGCGATTCCGGATTATCGATTTTTCCAGATTATATATCACCAGTTTAAATCTCGTAAGATGGCATGCAGAAATTCTAAAATTAAAAATATGAAACCGTAATTTATGAAATAAAGAACAATTTTGATCTAAAGGGTATCAAAATTTACAAAAAGAAAAAGCTTAATATTTATTTGTTTACTTTATTAAACATTTCTTTCAATGTAAGTTGTTTAAGTTTTGCTTCGTTTCATGTGATAATACTTCTCTTTAATTCTATTAAACAGACATAATTTCTTGTTCAGTTACAAAGTTCCGCTGTTCAAGTCCTATAATTGCTGTGTCGAGAACACCGACTAATTTGTCAATCGAAATTTTTTCGTTTTCAATAACCTCTGTCACTTTCTTCGCTATCGAAAGCAAATTATAATGACGAGGAACTTGTTTTAAATCATATCAAAGACGGAGCATATCGAGATGAAATACTACATTTGGTAAGGAATTATAAGCCAAATAAAATAATGAAGATAAGGATAGTGCTGACAGATCAACTTCCAATTCATTACGTGCCCGCCGCGGCGATCCCCTCGCCGAGCAGCGTGAAATTGATAAACAGATTTCGGATTTCAAAACATACTTTCGCTTTAGATCCTTTACATATTAACAAATATATATCGGAAATCTATTTGATATAATCGAAAGTTCAAGCTTACTTTTATAAAATTGCTCTAACAGTCTGCAAAAAATAATAAGCGGGATCCAATTCGAAAATTAAGGAACAATGCAATCATCAACATTAACTGAAATAGATAATTAGATAATTTTAACTTATACGTCCATTATACATAAAATGCGCACGCGAAAACATATTCTGCATTTGCGCACACTCATATGCGCAGTCGTAAAAGGTCTTACGCGCACGCGTAAACGCCTATGCGCATGTGTCAACGCGGCGCATGCGCAGAAAGTTTTTAGTTTTGAGGTCCGGATGATAGATCATTCCGAATTATGGGTGTCCGAATTAACGACTTTTGACTGTATTGGGAATTTTGTGGGATCTTGATAAGGACACTCTTAAGTGTAATTTAAACTTTGATCTTGTAAGCGAAGATTAGAATTCTACTAAGAGAATCATTTTAGCTACTGTTCAGAAAATACTTGATCCAATGGGTCTGTTGAGTCCTGCAATCTTACCACCTAAGCTTTTATTGTAAGAAACATGGAATTTAAATCTAAAGTGGGATACTCCCTTACCAAATAATATTTAAATGTCTTTTAAAAGATGGTTTAGAGAGATAGATGCATTAAGATATATCGAAATCTCACGTTATGTTGAAATAAATGATTCCACTGAGATGCATGTTTTCGTAGATGCGTGCAAAGAGGCATGTGCCACCTTTATTTTTTTTAGAATGAGAACTTCTCAAGAGGTAAAAATTTACTTTGTTAGTGCAAAAACCAGAGTTGCACCTTTGAAGAAAGTAACGATCCCTAGGTTAGAGTTAATGGCTTGTTGCATTGGTGCCAGGTTGGCATATTCAGTGAAGCAGGCATTAACCCCTTCGCGCCGACTGTCACGTCTACGTGCCAGCAACGAACACACTCACTTCCCTGCCGACACGCAGGCGTGACAGAGCATTTTCCCGTTCACTACCGACTGTCACGTATTTGTGCCAGTGTCCTGGAACGTTTTTCAAACTATAATTTCTGCCACAAGATGGCACTGTATGTCCATATGGTTTCAGATACATGTACATTAGACCTTCTACTCGAAATGAGAGAAGCATGACTCACATACACGTGTTTTTGATTATATAAACAAAAGGGGAAATAAATGTTTCCGAATGGCATGATTTATGACGTCTCTTTAAATCGCACTTTATTCGCACGTGGTAGTTGTTTATTTAAGTAGAGAAGTTTTATTTGCGCTAAAGCGTTGGGTATTTCGGTTTGCAGTTCAGTTTTTAGAAAATAATTAGATCTTGTTAGACGTGAATTCTTTCTGTTTTTACCGTTGCAATGTCGAAGTGTCGAAAATGTTTAACAGCGCATGAAATAGCAGAAATGATGCAAAATATTTCAGATATTGATTCTGAAATTCTGATATTCTGATATTGATTCTGAAAGTTATTGAAAGACATTTTCCCGAAACTTTGTTCAGAAGAGACTGATAAGAAAATGAGACGATGATGCTTCGTTTATTCACATTCCCGGAAAAATCCTCCAAAACGGCAAATGAGTTATTACGAGTGCAAGGAATGTAACATAGGACTGTGTGTAGATCCCTGTTTTCAAATTTTTCATACGAAAAGAGAATTTTAAACAATATATTTAGTTTTCAGATGTATAATGTTAAAAGTCATAAAATGGTGAGTAATGAAAATAAAATGTGTAAAATATTAAACAAGAAATAAGGTAATTAAAGTATATAGTATAAAAATATCTATAAAGCATAAGCCGTTTAAATACTCTATAGAGCATTATTAAACAATGCGTTGATACTTCGGAAATTTCATGGATTTAGGCTTAGTAGCAAAAAAGCCCCCGGCCCTGGACAGACGCTCGCGTAAGACACTGCCAGCCTCCGCGATAAGTGCGTGTTTCCGCTACCCAGCTCGAAGGGGTTAAACGCCCATGAGATTAAAACAATATTTTGGAGCGACTGTAGGGTAGCTTTATAATGGTTAAAAGAACATGGCGATTGGACAGTTTTTGTCTTGCACAGACTAAAAGAAATAAATAATGTATTTCCAAATAATGAATGGCAACATGTGCCAGGGAAAATGAATCCCGCTCATCTGATTTCACGAGGGTGTTCTCCTAAGAATTATTAGAATCCCGGCATGGTTGTTGCAAACAGACAATGGCCTGATACCGAGATACTGACAACGGAAACACCTGAAATAACATTTGAAAGGGAGAAAGATTAGATTATGTAATATTAATTTGTCAGAAGAGAAAGTCTCGTAGTAGGCCATTAAATTCTCAAATTTCCATTCAGTAGTTATAATGGTTGCATGGATATTGAGATTTATCAGTAATATAAGATCGTGTCATGGTACTAGATGGGGGGGGGTGACTTCAAATGCAGGAGATTGAAAATGCTGAAATTCTGCTTATTCATAATGTGCAAGCTCAATTTTTTCCTAGGGAAACCTTTATTTGGAACTTGTGCGTTTTCAATGATGTGAATGGAATTATCAGAGTTAAAACTCGAATTATTAAACACATAGATAAGCTTTTGTTCATTTCACGTATTCTTCTTTCTGGTAAATGTATCTTTACTCAAAGACTGATTGAATATTTTCACCGAGAAAACTGTCATACTGGAACCCAGATATTATTAAGTATATTGCTTGAAAAGTACTGGATTATAAGAGGAAGAAGAGTGATATATAGTGTTCTGAAGGACTGTATTAAAATGTCGATGATACAAAACTGAATCTTTGATCACTGAACCAGTTTCCTTACCTGCTGATAGAGTGGAAAATGCAGCAGCTTTCTAAGTAGTTGGTAATGACTTGGCTGGTCCCCTATTTGTAAAACGTGAGGACAAAGTATGGATGGTTCTCTGCATATGTGCTCTGTATAGAACAATTCATTTAGAGTTAATAAAATCGCTTTTCACTGATTCTTTTCTGTTATCATTTAGATGTTTTGTTGTAGAAGAGGAAGACCTAGAGTGGTTTATACAGACAACGGTAATGGACAACGGCTTTAGAGGAGCTTATAATAATTTGTTAGAAATTGATTGGAGTAAAGTAACTCGACAGACAGAAGTACAGAAGATCAAATGGAAATTCATTCCCCCCACTGCTGCCTGGTGGGACGGATGGTGGGAAAGACTTGTTCGAGTAGTCAAAGAACTCTTTAGGAGAACATTGGGTAGAGCTGTTCTTACGTATGAAGAAATGGAAACAAAATATGTGCGAATGTGAAAGGGTAGTAAATTCGTGACCCTTGATATTGACTTCCGTATCCGAAGATACAGAAGACTTAGTTCCACTTACACCTGCCATGTTTTTGACCAATAGATCCAATTTAGATGTAACTGATATAGACACAGTAGACACCAATCATCTCAGGAAAAGAATCAGATTTCATGCAAAATTAATGGAAGATCTCCGAGTACATTTTCGAAAGGAATATTTATTACTACTTATTCAGCAACAACAGCAAAATTCCACAGTTTCCAAATATTCGAGTGAATGACGTTGCGTTGATAGGAGATGATATCAAGAAAAGATTGAACTTTGGCCATTGGCTAGGGTTATGGAACTGAATCCAGGAAAAGATGGTAAAGTGAGAACAGTTAGATTAAGAATGGCAAACTAAGCAATTTGGTACCGTTCAATGCAACGAGTGTTTCCTCTAGATATCCAAGATGATGATTTGTCAGGTTCATGTCATCCAAGTGATCCTCAAAAACATCAATCTGCTGTAAAGTCTTCAGTTTCTCATCGTGGAAACGACTTGCATACCTCTCATCATTCAGAAATTTCTATGTCACCTCGATCTCCAGACTCCACTGATGTTTCCGATGTATATGACACGAGCTGGTAGAATTGTTGTTTTGAGTAGCTATCCAGCAACCCAAAAGGGGGAGGATGTTGGGAATAGCATCACTATGCCAGCGAATCAAAGCCCAGACTTGCCAAAGCTAGACTTCGTTTTTCTCTGATGTCATGGGATGCCAGAGAAAAACGAACAGTTGCGGTTTAGATAGCTAAGAACGATGTTTGCATGATGTAGATAGACATTTCTTGTTCATTTAACTTGTACAAATGTGTAAATAAACCTTTTTCCTTAAGTTTAAAATATTTGAAGTGTTCCATTTATTATGATAAGATAGCTGTTAATTCATCGGGTAGATAACTTTCTGAGCTAGCCATTGTTCGAGCGTAACACATTACGTAACATAACAATGGTAGCAACTGGCACAACTTTGACCATATTTCTACCTAATGTCATGGTTCTGTAATAGCCAATTTCTTGTTTAGCATTATAATACTCAATTACTGAAAATTATTTATTCTTTAAATATTTATCATTCAGAATATCTGTGTACTTTTATAGAAATGCACACTTTTGCAGATTGAGTTATGGAATAGATATTTGTTTGTTGATCACTTAAAACTGTGATCAAAACTTTCTGGATATTGTATTTTAAACTTAAAAAGCAAAATTTGTTTGCTAAAGCTGGTAACAGTATATTCACAACAACTTGATTTGAATATCTGTTTGCATGCAGAAGAGACGTGAAAGTGTGCCATATTCATTTTAGAGTATTGTGGCATTTCAGAGCAAGATAATAGTAAAGAGATCTTTGTGGTTGATTTAATGGTGATATTTATATTTATGGTGGCATTAATATTTATGCAGATGGTGCTAATAAACTGCTTGTCAAAAAAGTATTTTTCTAATAAACATGATTAAATTAAAAATAGTTGAAAAATGGAATAATGTAAAAAAAGAACTTGTAGGTATTTGACAAATCTGAAATTGTGATTTAAATTTTTAGGAAGTTTATTATGTGGCTTATTTAAAATAAGGCTAAGATGCAATTTGAAAGGAAGTGCAAGCAGGATTTCAAGTGTTGGCTCAGATATCGATATAATGCACAGAGTATTTAATGATTACTTTTCTAAACAGAAGAATATTAAAAATAGCAGACATTAAATTTGACACCATTTCTTTTTTTCTTTTGTACATTTGAGGCTGTGATGCAGCTCATAGTTACATTTTCTTGTGAAAAGTAAATTTTCAGTCATCAGGATTGGGGAAATGATTAAAAATTAAGATTTGCAAATAAATAATGGATAATATTAAGTAAAGCACTGGATATTATGACTAAATCTTACTTGTAACACTGTGCTTGTAGCTAGTTATTTATATATCTTTGAATTATAAAATGCATTTTAATAGTATGCACCAAAATTTTTTAACGGTAACATCTTAAAGGCATCTTCACTTTTGCAAACTCAGCATTTGCCCTTCAGAAAACATTACATGCCAATGTTAATTTTATTTTTCACTTATGGATATCAATAAGTACATTATATTTTACTTTAAAAGCAAATAAATTGTAACATGTTATAATTTCAATTATAGGTGTAAGCAATAATATTTTAATGAATAATTTCACTTTGATAAGTATTTTGAATATGTTACTTAAATATATTATGTGCTATTAATTCATTTAATTTGGAGACATTTCTTATTATTTTACCTCATCATTTGTTTGATGTACGAAATATATGTTATAAATTGTTTAACAATTTATATATTATTAGAACTTCTGCATTTCATTGTGAAATAGATCTCTGTATATATTTAATAGTTTAGGAGTAGAGAAGACATAATAATTTTACATTATTTAGGATGTTAAAATGTAATTTATAAGTATGAACAAATTTAGCACATGTAATGGCCAGCTCAATCACCTGACTTGAATCCTATCAAACATGTTTGGGATATTTTAGGAAGACATATAGCTGCTATCAGTCCTCCTCTCAGACCATTGCCATGCTTGCAACTGCTTTGCAAGAGCAATGGCTTTCACTTCCTATGGAACTGATAGACTGGATTATACGGCAGCATCGCACATTGCTGTATTTGTTGTATTGCTTCTAGGGGAAATCATACTGAAGGCAGTTTTCCTATACCAAATTAACACACCTGATTTGTTCATTTTATACATATCCTAATTTATATAACATCATAATTATCTGCTAATTTCTGTTTATGTTATTTTATACCTTACTATGTGTTGTATACTATGGGTCAGTTTCATTAAATTCTACATATAACTTTTTGAGTAATCGTCATTTTTGTGATTTTTCCTTAATTAATGATAACAGTGTATATCAAAATTCAATCTTGCTGATGCACTGTTAATCTTATATTCTATAATACCCTGTTAAACCTTTGAAATTGAGAGCCCATCAGCAGCCAAGCAGTAAAGTTGCTGAACACTAGTAGTTCGGTGCAAAATTTGAATCCCACAAATCGGCTGGCTGCATGGCCATTTTCATGAATTTCCCCATGTGTTATGTGTATATGAGCCAGTTTCTGTTAGAAAGTCCTCCACGAAGGCATCCCTCCCCTTAGGCAGATAGCCCTCGAGGCTTTCACTGTGATCACATAAACTGAAAGAAACCTATGAAATTAATTCCTATAATACCATGTTACTCCTATAAAAGTTTTAGAAATTCTAAATGTTTTTGTTATTACTACAAATGGAAGCTTAAACATTTAAAAAATTTTACTCACAATTTTATCTTTTCTCTGTATACTTTGTGAGGAATTTTCTTCTTCCTTACAGTGTGCTATCATGGGGTAACTGGAAACACATCTGACTAGCCATTGGAAAGTCCAGAGTTTGAATCGGGATGACAACTTTGTTGAATTTTTGTGTCCTGCAAAAGCAGTCTAAATATCTCTATAGCATATTGTTATTATTTTTTTTAAGTTTCGTTCAAAGTTGTGTTTTAAGTAGGCATTTTGAGATATGTTTTTCTAAAAGTATAAAAATGTGTGTGCTGAAAATTAGTGTGTTAACACAGAGCTATTCTATGATTTATTAATCCAAAGTGAAATTTTGAGAAGTTCTGAATGTTTCTGTTGCTTCTGTAAATGAAAGCATATTTGGAATTTTTAAGTTAATTATGTATGTTATTTAATTTAGTTTTTTTTTCTTTTCTTGGTACTAGATAATGATGGAGAAGTTGAATTAGTCTTAGGCCTTACTGATCATGTTCTAAGGACATATAGATGGGTTAGAATTAATCAGGTATAGTATTATTGTTTGGATAGAAAATCGATAGTTTTGAGATCCGAAAACTTCGATTTTTGTGCTTATTTTTGTTATTTAAATATTTCGAATCCCAATAAAAAAATACCAGTAAACGTTTTGCTTAAATCCTTCAAAAGATGAGTTTTACTGATGTCAGGTAAAAGTGTTTGTAAAAAACGAATATGATTGTTTCGATTTCAGTAGACTTTATAAGACTGAGATTTAGACTTTATAAGGCCCTAAGCTATTTGAGTTATAGGGCCCTTTATAAGTCTGTTATTTTAATACTATATTTATACTGTATTTTAATTTTTTGGGGAGCCCCAAGATAGTGCGGGCCCTAAGCTACAGCTTCTGTAGCTATACGTAAATCCTGCACTGCCTTAATTAGCATCTCCTTTGGTGACCCTGAGTGCCACACTGCTTAATTTTCTGATTTGTCTAGTATTCCATGTTTATTGGTTATCTACATTAAGTCTGAAAAAAATTTCTGTCTTTACCTTGTTTTGATTAAACGAAAGTATGAAAAGGTACTTTCATATTATCGTAGCTATTTTAATAGGAATTGTCAAAGTTTCATAATGCACCAAAACTCTAGTAACCAGGTGCATTATAATTATTTAAGCAACCATGCACATGACAAATATTCAGTTCCCTACATCACCATTTTTTTATGCGTTCTTTTTGTTGTATTCCAATTTCCTTAAAATGTGATTCTTCCCGCCCCCCTTAAACTCAGTTTTAAAATTTGTACCTGTGAGACTAGGCTGTGTCAAAGTGGTTGCGATAATACCCGTAAAAAAATTATACATGTGAGACCAGGTTGTGCCCGTAAATAATACCCATAAAAATTTTTAACATTACTCGTATACCTTTTTATTAAATTTTATTGAGAAAATAAATTTAGTTTTCAAGAGTTTTTTTTATTTACTTCATTTACTAAATTTATTTGTATCTTCTTTATAAATATTATACCTTCTTTATAAGTGTATCTTTAAAACTTAAAATTGTTTTTGTGAAATGGAGATTTTGAAAATTTCGTTTAGTTAAAACCTTTTGATAATAATTAAAAGTTTTTTCTTCTTTCTTTTGTTCTTTTTATACAAAAGGCTTTGTTCTTTTATACGAAAGACGATGTTCTTTGTTCTTTTTATACGAAAGACTTGATAAGTTCACAAATATTTTGTGATTTTGATTTGAAAGAAATTAAGTTTCTTTTATCTCTAGTTTATTTGAATGCAAACTATATATGCATGTCTATCTGTCTGTTTGCTTGTTTGTGGCATTATCTCCTCCGGAAAAGTGGGAAGTTGAGCTTCCAGAGAGGTAAACCTGATTCCAAAAATTCGTTGGAAGCCATTTGGAGCATTCTCGTCTTTGTACGACTTTAATTAGCCAAGATATTAATTAAAAACTCTAAAAATGTTAATTTTTTACCTTTTTTTTTCTGAGTGGCAACAGTATTGTATGCTGGAGAGAAAAATCTGCTTTATTTCTGTGTTGCCACTGCTCACTTTCAAATCATAGAGTTTCTTAATGAAAAATTTTTCAATTTTACAAAATATGAAATAAAAATAGCATTGCCAAACAATAAATATATTATACCCTGCAAAAAATTGTGAGAAGCTATTTCGACTGTTCCCATTTTTGTGCTTCTCTAAAAACACTAATTTTGACACTCATTTTTCCAAATAGCAACAGTCTTGCACATTGGGGGTAAAAATGCTTTATTTCAGAAAGTTTTGCTATAGCTCACTTTCAAATCGTAGAGTTTGTTAATAAAAAATTTGTAAGTTTTGCAAAATATGAAATAAAAATAGATATAGTATTATTGTTTGGATAGAAAAGCGCCAAACATTAAACATATTATTATTATATAAGGTCATATTCTGACATTGAAGAAAATGTGCGATTGCATGTGACGTCACTTTATGTTAAAAATTATTCATTAATGTCTGCATTTTAAATAAATAGCTGCTGTTGACAACTTTCTTATGTCAGGTTAGTATAATTGACACAATATATTATTGCCACGTTTTTATTGATATTGAGAAAATTTTATTAAATTATATATTAAATTTAAATCATGACATCATACATATTAACCTGAACCAAAAGATATTGTTTCCTGGTTCAGCAGTAAAAAAATATTTATAAATTGGTTGTTGCTTGGAAAGAATGAACTAATTTCTTTCATATTGAAATGTTTTCATGCTTTTGCCAGGGGTACACAGAACTTACAAATTTTGCTTTGGTTGCAGCCCACTAGCCAGTGGGCTTGCCTGCTAGTTCTTTTTAACATTTGTGTCCTTTCTTAACATTTGCTATTTCATTGATGAAGTGTAATTTGAGAAAAAAATTGACTAATTATTTTCTTCTCAATAGCAAGCACTTGCCTATAACAGTATTGGCCACTACTAAGGCCAGAAGTGGTGGCTATTTTATTGTGGAGGCACCTAATAGGCAGCCACTATTACTCTCTAGGAAGGGACAGACATTTTTACATCCATGCTTTATCCAGGATTCAAACCTGGGCCCTTTGGTATGGCAGTCAGTCTTCCCTAACCACTATACCATCTGGGTGGCAGTTGACTTAACTATATAGTTCAACATCCATCACTTTAATATATTTTACATAGGATGTTTCCAAAATTTTAGAAATTAAACTCTAGTTCAAGTCCTAAAACTTATAGGCAACGCTATAAGACAGAGATAAGTTTTGACATGTTTATGCAGCTCATGCAATATTGTTTAGGCAAATTCATTTGCTTGACTGATACTAGTATATTTTATGGTAAAAGTGAAACAATCAATCTTATTCCTTATTATTAATCAAGTTCATATTATTTATTTATGGCAGTGAGAATAGTTTGTTTTATATAATAATGTTTATTTTGCAGAATCCAAACGATTTTACTGGAAAATTGGTAGGATTGCACAAGTTGGAGCTTGCAGACCAGGTTAGACACTTTTTAGCTTTGTTTTATGTGCATATTTATTTATTTATATGTCTAATCATTAACCTGAAGCTTGTGCCACATGAACTTATGTTTTCTATCATCAAATCATATATGAGCTAAACCAATAGTGGCCAACATCTTTTTTTATTTCATACTTTGTTGCAATTTTTAATGGCCTTTAAATTATAATTTTGATTTAATTAATTTAATTTTTATTTATTTAATTTCAAATAACATTTGTTTAAAAAATTCTTTTGAATTAAATCTTTTTGTTCATCTAGATATAATTCAGAAGTTATGTTGAAAACTCTTTGGCTGCTCCATGGAAATGACCAGGGAATTTTCAACAATTTGTTATAACATTTTAACACAATAAGTTATTTTAAATTTTTTTATTAATTTCAATTATTTTAAAACAATTCAATAAGAGAATTATTGAGTAATTTTTTTGTTTTAATTTTGAATTATGTACCTCCTGTTGGACTCTTTTTGATTTAATTATTATGTCGTGATTATATGTATTTGATATAGTAGTTTTTGCGGAAGATGAAACCAATTTACGCTTTAGTCATAGTCAATAAAATATGCTCCGCAGATTACTGGAGGGAAAACTACAGCTGGCTTGATCATTAAAACATCATTTTTATTTTGAAGAGGAAAAATTCTTCAGAAATACATTTTTAATTTGGTACCTCACTAGGATGCTAAATGCACCCCACAATTTCTATAAATGCAGTTAACATTTTAAATGATAGAAAAAGAAGCTTAGCAAAAAGGCACAACTTTCTTAGGTATAGCAGACAGGCAAAAAGTAATACGTTTATGCAGCTCATGCTATATTGTTTAGGCGAATTCAGTTGCTTGACTGATACAGGTGTATTTTATGGAAAAGGGAAACAATCAAGCTTATTCCATTATTATGCCAATTCTTTACAGCTTGGAATGTCTTTGTTGAATCCTGAGCAGTGATTGGGCTAAAGCTTTCACAATGCAGAGATTATATAACATGCTGCAGAGTGATGCAAAATGGTGTAAAGTATATCTTTGAAGCTAGGATATGTTTAATTAAATTATGAATTTGCTGTTGCCAGTTGGTTCCAATTAAGTTTAATAATCATGTTTCATATTATATATTACATTTATATATATAATAATAATTTATCTAAAGATAATTTGATATTAGAAGATAGCTCGAAACTGTTGTGTAGATGGAATGATGGACATGCAGACAAACCTGCCAAATTAATCATATAATTTATTCGCGGATATTCTTGACACATTTCTTCAATCACACATCATTAATACTCAGGACATATATTTTTTGTTGACACAATTCTGTGAGTGCTGGAAGCATCCCACAATTTTATATATGCATATCACATCTTTAAAAGTAGATGAAAGCAGTGAAATGGTTAATTACGTGCTTGCGAAGCAAGAGCAGAAGAGAAAATTGGCTGCATATTCAGTAGCTGGAGTATTTATAAACTCGGCTTTTTTGCTTCAGTGTTGAATGGTGGTTCGAAAAGGGCTCTACAGCACTGCAGATTATTACAGATGAAAGAATGACATGTATCGCAACACATATTCTCTGAAGGAGACATAGCTAAATAAAATCAAGAATTAAAAGGCCAAACAAGCAAAACAAGAGTATTTCCAAACTAAGTTAGTAATTTGTTAGCAATTTCTTTCATATTTTATATCTTACATATTCACAGATTCTTCGAATGGGTTGTAGCCAAATAAAACCAGGAATTAAAAGAACTCTTGCCAAATTAAGTTAGTAACTTGTTAGTAATTTCTTTCATATTTTATGTCTTGCATATATACATACATATAGACAAAAGTAAGAAATTTAGAATCAAATTCACAAAGATACAAAAGAAATGAAATTCAATACCAGTAAAATCCAAAATTCTCTATAAATATGTAAAAAATATCAAACAGTTGTAAACAAACCAAAAGAACTCCCGAAAACTACAGGTGTGTGAAATATAAAAATTACAAAATAAGAAGAAGAATACAATCAAAATCTGATTCAAAGTTATCAAGAGGAGATAAATTTTTACCGATACCAATTTTATTTTTATTACAGATAAGTTCCATTTCATTAAATCCATCTACAGAGGGAAGCCCATACATATTAATAGCTCAGTCGGGTGGCACATACATACACTTTCAGTGCTGTGATGAACAGGCTGGAGAATTTTCTGATGGGTATGTGCATTTGTTTTGAAGTAAAATATTTCTAAAAATTTTGAAAACTAGTTTAACCCTCTTAGCGTTATGGACTGGTTTCCTTATTCATCACACGTGAAAATTTCTACCAGCTTTAATGTGTCCTATTTTGGTTCGTATGTATATTGGAAGAAAAGGAATCAAGGTACAAAGTGAGAGAGTCATTTTTTAATTAAAATCAAGAAAATATCACTTATTCATGGCATTTTTAGGATCTTTGAAATTTCATGGCTAAATCCATAATGCTAAGAGGGTTAAAATACTTGCAAAATTAATTACTGTGGACATTATTATTGTGTTGCATCATGCATATCCTTATTAATAAAATTACTTTTGATACTTTAGCATTAAAAGACGTAGTACAAGTTCTTATATTTTAGTTCGTCCGGATCAAAATTAACTACACCTGTACACCATCCACTTGCTTCCAGTCGAATGAGGAACCCCAATATATCCTCCGAGATACTTGGTGGCATTCGGGGCACTCGTAACGGAGAAACAAAAGATTCCTTGATTGCCGTTGCTACATTAGATGGTAATTAATATTCCTTGTGTTTCAGTGAAAGAGTTAGAATTTAGTCACATGTAATGAGGAAAATCATGCAAAGAATTTCTATGATTTTGGTTCGCTTTAAAATATTGATTTACATGCAGCAGGCACTGCTTAAAATGATTATGTTTGTCCATGTCTGCTTTGATAGCACTAATCAGATGATAACATTAAACAGTGAGAAAAAATATCTTTTGAAACAGCAATGCAATTTAACTGATTTAATCTAAATGCAACAAGAAACCTATAAATAAGTACTTTAACAGAATTTTATTGGGCACATTTAAAAATTAGTTACTGAATTTTTCATAATGTCTTTTAACGCAGTAGTTCATTTATGAATGATTCATAACATTTCTAGAAATTATTTAACTGATACTGTACTTCTAACCTTACTATTTGGAAGACATCCCTCATTCATTGGAAGAGAACATGCAATTGGAAAATTTAAATTTAGGCAAAAATGCACTTTTAGTTTGGTGTAGATATTTCCAGGGGAGGGATTCTGCAGAATGTCTGAAGAAGGGGAAGCCTGTGTCTGATCATCCTCCAAACTGATAGAGTTGCTCAAAATCTGAGTTATACTAAGATTGATTTTTTACATAATTTTAAATGAACTAATATAAAAAACAAGCTGTTTAGTGATGTAATCTCTTACTTGATAATATTTTTATGACATTCGGCAATTTTTCTGATTTATTTTGACTTTATTTCTTGACTTTATATCTTACTTGGCAACTTTACTTCAGTTAAAAAAAAACTGTTTGATAATATTTTGATCATATTAACTGAATTGTTGATCACAATTAGTGGCATATTTCCATGCTTTCATATACAACCAGATGGGACTTTGGCAATTCAATAACAATATCTGAATGATGTGTATATGCAATGTTTCATAATTTTAAACTGCTGTGTTTTATCCAAAATCATCTCAGCAGCTTTTTCATAAAACAACTCGGTGTGTTACGGTGCAATTGAATTAAAAGTTATGCATAAGTATTGCTTTGAAAAGTTACCATTGCTTTGAAACATTACCATTTGTAATAGTTTGCATCTAATTGACTAAAAATATCACTTAAAGTTTTTTTAATTATTGAGTTAATGTGTAATTAAATTTAAACTTGAATTTTATGTAATTATATATCCCCTGAGACAAACGCATATTCGCATTTAATATGAAGCATTCAGTAATATATATACAGTGTCTTAGGTTATTCAAATATCCATTTCATTTGACCAGTCAGCACATGTCACTTTTTAATATGTTGAATTATAAGATAGTTCAATAACACCTCTAGAAAATATAGTGTGCCAGCTAAAAATGATTTTTGAATCTTTTAGTTCTAGTTAAGATCCAAATTACAATCCAAATTTACCCTCAGCTTTTAATGAAATGATTTCGTAGTTGTTTTCATTTTTCATCTATAGATAATGCCATTAGCTGTGTTTTCATTTTTTGATGGAATTTTCCTGAACTTTCTAGTCTATTGTTTTCACTTGTATTGCATCAACACAGGCTTGTCTTTCATCATTTTAAGTTTTGCAACTAAAGAAGAAGGTTCTATAGTCAAATCTTCGAAACTAGTGGCTGAACAACTATTACGTGTCTCTTCGATTGGTAATTGAGGAGCACTGTATCAGGAGACACTGCACACAAAACAGTTATGGAAGATTTTCATATAAGAAAATTTGATCTTGTTTTATCTCTTGTACAGTCTGCAGCACAGAAAGGAGAATGAATTTGTGTAAAAGGATTTCATCAAAGTCAACATAATTACTAATTTTTTCAAGGGGAATTGTGAGTGGTGATAAAACTTGGTGCTGTGCTTATGATACTGAGAAAAAATCTCAATCATGTGCTTGGATTGGAGGAGCTTCATGGTTACCAAAATTTCAGTTTCAGAAATCTTGAGTTTGGAGATCTTTTTTGATTGAAAAGAAACTTGGAATTTGATCTTGAGGGGCATATGAACTCCTTATTTTCTAAAGATGTACTGGACTAACTTCTGAAGAGAATTCAGCATCTTAGGCCTGAAAAAGATAAATCAAATGACTGGTTTCTGCTGCATGACAATGCACCACCAGTTCTTGAGCAGTTTCTAGCAAAGAAAAATGTCACAATTCTCATTCTTTTCCTGAATTTAAGAGATTTCGCACCTGCAGATTTCTTCTATTCCCTAGAATGAAATTTCAGTTTTAACGGTGATAATTTTAATGGCTTTGAAGAAATCCAGAAAACTGTAATTGGAGACTTCAATAGCATTCCAAAAGATTTCTATAAAGGAATCAAGCATTTGTATGAAAGTGTTGCGCATTGTACAGACCAGTGTTTTTTAACCAGGCTCCAGAGAAATTTTGAAGGGGTTCACAAAGCAGAATAATATTTGAGGGGTGCATGATAAGTATTATTAATAAAATAACTTATTATAATAATAAAATAAACTAAGGTCATAGAATAGTCCAGAAATCCACTGTTATATGATAGTTGTATTTTCTGGAACCTTCTTTAGTTAATGAGAGAAAAAATTCTCTTCACAGAAAATTTTGAAAAAGATAGTGAAGATAGGCCACCCAAAGAAGTAGGCTCACAATTACAAGTGAGTGTATGATCAGGTATCATGTGAATGCAAGTTTCTCTCATTAGTCGTTGTTTCTGGTTTCAGTAGTGTCTGAAGAGTTTAAGATCATCAACACTCTATATACTTGTGTGAAGTAGCATTTTGTACAGTGACATTTAAAACCGAATACAGAAATAAATTAGAATATGAGGGCTATCTACATAAGTGGGCAGATGACTTTAAAGAGCATTTTCTGAGGGAAACGGACTCATAATCAGATTACTCATAATCACATGTGTTACTAATCACATTACACATGGGGAAAACCATAAAAATGTCCATGCATCAGAGACTGTTTGGCAGCATTGAAACCTCGGTTGAAGTACCAGACGTTCAGTGGTTTTGTCTGCTTTGCTTCGGTGTGCCTCTTTTGAGTTGAATGGTATATGTATGTATTTTTATGTGTAGTTTTATTCTGAATGTATGAAATATATTACACATATTTGCATCTTCATGTTACAGTCAAACTTCATTATAATGAACTTTAGAAGGAGATTATGGATTAGAAGTTTGGTTCACTATATCCATCTGAAAAGAAAAATAGATTATCTCATAAAAACATGTAAAAGTTAATGATGAATCACACCCACACATATGCACATACATACCAAAAAATATTAATATTGTTACATATTTCAAAAGAAGTAAATAATAAATCTAATTAAAATCATATTAAAATTAATTTCAGTTATTGATACATGCAGTTATTAAATTTCTTGGTTTTCTTTTGCTGTTTCAGTATATGTTAATTACTTTACATGATAAATTACCTAGCTTAATTTAGAAGTCAAGCAACAAAAATCACCATTATATTTGCAAATGTAATACTGATTTTTGTAGTTTGACTTCTAAATTAATCTTTGTCTGGCATATTATTGTAACCTAAATTACTTAGCATAAATATCATTTTTCTGATCCTTCCCTCCGGTTACCCATTTATATAATTATATTATCCTCAACAATATAAAAACACTAAAATGAATAGCAAACAATATCTATGAATTTATTTTGAACTTATGTAACATCTGAATGCAGAAATAATCCATAATTTTCTCACATAATGGAGATAGCTAGAAAATTTTATCCATGGTTGCGAAGGAAAGATTACAAACAAATCGATAAGGGCAAATCATCTATGGCCTTCTTTAGCTCATATGACTCACTACTTCTTCTTCTCCTGAATAGCCGAAATTTCTATCATAGCATCAATCTTGAATAGAGCTCTGTCGGTTGTGTTAGTTGCCGATGACTGATGTGGTGCTAAACATTATTAAGCATAATTTGAAAATTTTCAAGTCAAAATCACCAGTGATGTTTAATTTAATAAATATTTAATATTAGTTACTAAACTCTGTCAATAAAATGCAAATATATTATTTAAAAATTAAAAAAAATAATTAAACAGTGTTTTAATTTAACTGTTTAATTTTATTAAGTAAACAGTTTTAATTTAATCACAGTTTCAGAAATTTTATGGTCATTTATTTTAATTCTGCTTTAGTTTTTCAAATTTGTTATTTTGCAACATTCATTCCCATTTAATGATCTTTGATAAAAAGTTTTTGTTCATAGGTACATTGATGCTTGTCGATGGTGATGACATTCTTTGGTCTTTCCAAGTTGATCATCAGTTGTTTACAATAACAAAATTAGATTTATTGGTAAGACTTTGGTTTCTGTTCCATATTCTTAGAATTCATGAAAAATTGAACCTACTTGTATATATTTGTTTAATACTAATAGTTCTTATGCAAATGTGTTATAAATAATGTATTATTTATGCGCTAGATACGATGCTTGAAATAGCCTAATGGAGCTTATCAATTCAGTTACATGCTGCTCCATGTTTAATTCCTCTGGAAAAAAATAAAAACGGTACAAAGTCCGAAATCTGGATGTCCATTATCTGGAATGATCTAAAATCCAGACCTTAAAGCCACAAACTTTTTTTTTTTTGGTATGCTTTATGCATGCGCATTTGATTTTTCCTTCTGTAAAAAAACATGTGGAGATTTTCACTTTAAAATTCCGATTCTTAATTTCACTTAGGCACTAAATAAAATGCATCATTATGAAAAAACAATTATGTAAGCATAAATTTGTGAGATTAATAATTTAGCTCCGTAGCTGAGTGTCTGCTTGGCATTACATCTCAAACCGAAACATTAACCTAATTTATATCCCTGACGCCGACCGGGCAAGTTATTATTTATTATATTTTGCTTTCATCACCACATGTTTATCAATACATTACAGCTTTAGTAATAACTCATACAGTGATATCTAAACTTTTTTTTTTTATATTAGTAATTGAATAACAAGAGTAAGGCAACCTTTTTTGCTATCATTACGCTTGGTGATGATTATAGATTTTTTTAAATGCTCTAAGAAATGTTGAGGAGGAAAAATTCAACAAAAATTTCTTTTCATATGCTAAAAATAGATTTTGTTAATGAAACTCATAGGCCAAAAGATTACATTTAGTGCTATTTTATTTAAGAATAACTGATATGTTATTCACCATAAACTCAGAAGTGGTGGCAGAATATGTCGTCACCGGACGGCAGAATTTAGGGAAGACGAAATTTTTGGAATTTGGGGAAGCACCGAGAGGCAAAATTAAGAGATGAGAAGTTTTTTATGATTTAAAAAAAGCACTGTGATCCAAAGTTTAGGCGTGGGGAAAATTTAGAACTTGGGAAGGCCCTTTGTATCAGAATTTAGAACCTGTAGAGACTGCACCAGGCGGTATCTAGCATTGACCCTAGATAAAGCTGTAAGTATATGTGGGAGTTTATTTATTCAGGACTCAGATTAGTTTTAAGCATGTGCAAGAAATAACGTACGTATATTGAATAACTAATACAATTCAGGCTTAATTCAGTACGCAATAGGAGCAAGACAAAATTTAGCAGAACAGCTTGGTCGCCAATCTTGTGATACACAACTAGTAACGTATAATGGATGCTATTAAGCTAAGCTAAAGTTATCTTAAGTGATTCAAAGGCATTTCAGTTAATTTAGAAAACTGTGCTGCTCCTTAATCTTCTAATTTGATCCAGCTTATTATTTTTTACAATTTGTCATTATCACGGCAACTTTAATAATTAAGCTTGAACTTTCGATTAGATTTCGAAGGGATCTACAAAGCCAAGGGATCTGGCCAGGGAAGCATCTGTATACCGTGCAGAGCATGTTGGTAGATACAAGCACTGTGTGGTCGGGCATTATCCTGCTGAAAAACTGCATTAGGCAGCCCTTGAAGCTAGGGTGCCACCAGCCACAGTACATTATCCAAGTATTGTTGGGCAGTTCTAGTGCCCTGAATATGGAATAGAGGTGACCTGGAATCATAAGCAATAGCGCTGCCCCAAACCGTTGTTGCGCAGTGAGGCGTTCCACAGTTATTGCCAGATTAGATCTGTCTCCACGTCAACACCACACACGTATGTGGCGACTGTCACTGGATAAATAGAAGCGTGACTCATCTGAGAACACGACGTTTTGCCATTCTGTTAACCACATCGCTCCAGTCTGGCACCATTCTAAACGTTGGCATCTATGCTGTGGGGTCAATGGCAGTCTTCTTAACGGATGCCATGAGTGCAGGCCACATTCAACCAATCGATGGGAAATGGTTCTGGTCGACACGGAAACATCCAGGGTATCTTGCACATGCTGCAGACTTGCATTACAAGTGACTTGTGGGACCGCCACAGCTTGTCGAGGATGCGTTGATCCACTTGCTGATGCACTCTGGCTGCACCTGGACCCTTCCTTCTTCCCACATTTCCTTGTTCCAACCATGTTCGCCATAGCCGTTGCACTGAGCTCGCATCCATGTGGGTATCAGCTGCAATTTGACGTAAAGACCAACCCGCCCTTCTTAGTCCGATCACCATACCCCTCGTAAAATCTCTATCTGCTGGTAGTGCTTCATTGACCCGGGGCGCCATTCTCTCCTTTACATTATCCTCCGGTACAAAAACCAACTTTCTTCAATAATTTGTCTGGCAGAAATAATGACATGAATATTGTCCATTCTGCACGCTCCTTCCCTTATATCTTACTTCATGTGTGTCGGAGAGCTGTGCATTTCACATCATTGGCATAACTCAGTGACGTGTGTCTACTCTAAAATTTGCATAAATTTCTGACCACTCCTTCGTGTTGTTGCATTTTCAATGTCGAGCAATGTATTATGTAGGAACAAAAGAGAATATTCAGAAATTGGTGTCTGTTTTATCTGATCAAAGAAATTCGCCTGTAAATCCTTTCGTTGTGGTGTCACATATTAACGAATTATGCAATTCCTGGACATTGTACAGCCTGCACTTTCGATGTTTAATAGCACAGAAATGCCTTGGGTGGGATTTTAAAAAGAAAATAAAACATGAACCCCTATCCATTAATGCCTTTTGCCGAACCTCTATGTCAAGTGGAAAAACATAATTCTTGTGACAAGAAATAAAAAATTAAAAAAAAAAAAAAAAAAAAAAAAGAACATTTTGAATTTCCTTCTTTGGTCGACTAAAGTTTTTATTTTTATTAAAATGCAGTTTCTGCAGTATTTAGATGGAATTTTACTCTGACCAGTTAAAACTGAAGTGTCTTACTTATGTGTAATTATTCCTTTTGAATGCACATGAGATTTGTTTTGATAACCTTGACGGGAACTTTTGTTTTGTATTGATAACTTGTTTGCAAAAGTTATAGAATGCACTAACATTAATGATGCTCTTATGCCTTGTGCTTCTGTTTTTAAGAACGTTAGCAGTTTGTTAACATTAAATTTTTGTTTATCGCTTCTTTTTCTAATGAATTTTAAAGTTAATTCTCAGGTGTTAATTTTAATAAAATAGGGTATAATAAATGTTCATGAGAACCACTAGTAATGTTTAAAGAATTTAGAATTCTTATTTGTATTTCTATATCATCTAAAGCTTCCTCAAAGCAGCCATATTTTGGAAACCTTTTACAAGTTCTAAATTTAGCAGTTTATTCATATGCACATTAATTAACAGATCATCTTTGCCAAAATGGTTTTTTAGTATATCAGCAGCCTCTGTATAATTGAATTGAATCAATTATACATATAATAATCCATTGATAGCATTTAAAGCTAAACTTCCCAAAAGCGATTTTAAAAACAAAAATTGTCAATTGAGTTGAGACTTTCATTTTGATTATGGAATTACAAAACTGTTTCCAGAATTCATGCCAAGAACAAGGATTACCATAATATTTAGTATTTATTAATTTCAGCAATTTCAAAGTATTCACTTCAGAAGTTTTAATTTTACAGATGCATTTTCCTAATATTTAGTAATCATTAATTTTAGTAATTTTAAAGTATTCACTTCAGAAGTTTTTAATTTCACAGATACATTTTTCTCACTAGAATTTTTAGATTCAACTTCACATGTTTTTTCTTACTTTTTCCTTACTGATATTCCTCTGCGAAATAACTTGTATTTCTAGCTCCTCTTCCATAGTTAAGAGTTTCTTAAATCTCAGAATCATATTATTTCAATAACTGCAATTTTTCAAGTAAAATTTCAAGTAATTCTTCTAATTTTTCATCTGCCAGTTCTTCCTCTTCTAGCAATGCAAATTGTATTTTACTGATCAATTTAGTAGTTAAGCTATACTTCATCATACTCAAATTCTTTGCCTTATACATAGCCTATATTTTAACATTAATTTCTAATCAATTATAATAATCAACAAGTAGTAGATTTTTTATTCAGCATTTCAATTCTGTTCAAAACTGGAAAAATAGAAAATGCCTTCAAATTCCTTCCCATTTAAATCCAAGTTTTGCAGTTTAGAAGAACTCGGTAATTTTCTTTGGCCATTCTTCACCTCCATCAATTATGTGCAGCATTCACACACGTAAAAAAAGTTCTGACTGATTGAGCTGTATCGTTGCATATTCTGTAATATATTGCCATATTTCTGCTACTATATGTTTTTTACATTTTATATAAAAGCCTTCTGCCACTTGGTAGATACATATTACAGCTTACTGGTTTTCTGCAACCTGGCAGTGTCATTAGTGGTAAGACACCTGAGATTTTGGCATGTCAGCTACCGAACGCAACTAAACTTTTGTGTGGTGCACTCTGTAGTAAAAATCTTTGCAATTGGAGGAGATAGGGTTCGTAGCGGTCCTTACAAGTGCTTATAAGTCCTTATATTTGAAAATAAAATATAAAGGCCCTTATAGGTGCTTACGTTTTCTTTAAAGCCCTTTATGTTTTTATTTATTTATTTGCTTATTTATTTTTTTTGCTTTTAGTTTTATTCCTTTGTTAATTTTAATGAACGCACATTTTTTCCCCGTACCAAAGCCGAAACTAAATAAACAACATTTCTTCCTTATAAAATGTAACGTCAGATGGTGAATCATATTCCCAGAAAATTGCTTTTCCCCCCTTCCTCTGCATTAACGTAACCTATGGATGCGCACGAGAGTACAGACAGGTGCACGTCGTTCTATTGGCCAAAGAATTGCAAAAATGATAGAAAATTTCTGGTACATTTCGGTATTCTTTTCCTCCCACCCAAATACTTACACACATTTTAATTTCTATCAAGATTTTAATAATTTGCATTCTCGTTCTGCATGGTCAGTTCATATTCATGTTTATTATGATCG